CATAACCACTGTGCTATGGGCGCTGAGCCAGCCAAATGCATTCTTAACTAATTCAGTGCTCTCTAAAACCTAGCCACTTACCAAACTTTTATCTACTTTGAATTCTGGCAGCCATTTAAATGTTTAAACAAGCTGATGCATGAAAGTGTAGTGGAAAGTCATTTCACACATTTACTGGCCATTCAGATTTCCTCATCTAGGACTTCCTTGTTCATATCTCTTGTCTACTTTTCTACTATATTATTTGACATTTGTAAGAGGACATTTCCAGATTGCAAACTAGTCTGAAGTAAACTTATAGCAAAATGTGTCTCCTTATCTTCACACAATCAATCAAATCAAATACAATTATAAGAAAAAAACTTCCTCACAGGCCAGGCTGATGGTGAGTGTCATCTCTGAGTGGTGCACCACCACGTGGCAATATGTCAAGAAGTAATTCAACTCATGTAAATCACCATAGCCTGTGCTTATTACTTCCTTTGTAAATCTACACCAAGAAAGGTCTATAGAATAGTGACAGACTAGTGAACCTGGCAGAGTCCTTAACATATATCTTCTCTTTTTAACTCTCACATCAAACCCAAGAGGCATTTATTATTCCTGTTTTTACAGAATAGATGATGAAAGTTAACATTTAAAACCAACAATCTAGGCTTGGCGCTTGTGGCTCAAGTGGCGCCAGCCGCATACACCAAAGGTGGCTGGTTCGAATCCAGCCCGGCCCGCCAAACAACAATGAAGGCTGCAACCAAAAAATAGCCAGGCATTGTGGTGGGCACCTGTGGTCCCAGCTACTTGGGAGGCTGAGGCAGGAGACTCACACTTGAGCCCAGGAGTTAGAGGTTGCTGTGAGCTGTGATGCCACAGCACTCTACCCAGGGGAACAGCTTGAGACTCTGTCTCAAAAACAAAACAAAACAAAAAAACCCCAACAATCTATTTCCTACCACAAAATCAAGACATTCCAGGCCCAATATTTTAAAAAAATGGTTAAGTGTTTATTTCAAATTAAAATTATTCAAAATATATTTTTACATAATTTTATATGCCTACCTGAAGACATCAACAGCCTTAAGCCAGTTGTTGAACCTGTTTAGTGGTTTATGAGTCTGAAAAAGCTGTTCCAAAATTTGGCTCTAAAGTTGATTGTCACACTATAGGTAATGAAAATTATTTCCATTTTTAAAAGTGAAAACCTAAAATGAGTAGGATTTCAATGATTCAGCAAGAGGGACTTATTAGGTAGACATCCCACCCCATGGCAGCAGGTAAGGAATTCCCCTACCTAATAAGTTAACAAATAACAAATCTGACACTGGAAAACAAACAAAATAGGCTGTTAAAGATAATAAAAGATTATCATGAAAAGCAATGTAAACAAGTTGAATAAAACAAGCAGATCCTTGAGTATTTGTACATGTTTTAGATTTTGAAGAGATTGATTCTGCTTTAAAAATCCTAACAGCTAAAGGAAAAGGGAAAGTTGGCAAAGCTCCTGCTCCTGGTGGAGGGAGGAGGACAGCAGGAGGGCTGAGGCTAAGACAAATATTTCTCTGCTTTATGCCACACCTCTCCTAACAAGAGCTATGGATTCTCTCTGGCAAAGCATCACACAAAACACTCAATCCACAGCTGATAAGGAACACAGGCAGCAAACCTCTTTGGTTCCTCCAACCAAACCCTCCCTTGGTGACCCATCCAGGACACAAAGAATTGACAATCACCATGGCAGGAAGGCTAGAACCCAGGTGCTGCCACTTGGGCCCAGAGGAGACATAGGGATTCACGTGGAGCGCCCTCTTGCAGAAATGTTTTGACCATTTGTAAGGCACAGAAAAATGCCTAGAGGATTTTGAATTCTTTATTTTACATAAAAGAAATCCAGTCTGCAGACATATACAATGTTCACATCTAAAAAAGTGCAAATGGGTTGACAAATCCCCAACCTGGTGGTTCCTGCCATTTTCGTGGTGAGCTTGTCCAGTGGCCTCTGCTTGGGGAGAAAGCAGAGTACTCTCCTCACCCCTATCCCACTTCCTAGTAGGGGATGCACACCTCACTCATGGGTACATGGAAAGAAACTTGAATCTCAAAGTTGTTTATGGCCAGGTCAGGCCTTGAGAGGGCAGAGGTCCTGCACCTGACCTAGGTCTAGGTGTTTTTAAGACACATGGCAGGAAAAAAGTGAAGCAAGCTTTAGTCACCAGTACTAAAAAGAGACAGATTCCTTGACCCTTTACAACAGTAACTCCAAGTCTCAGGACACTAGAGGCACAGTAAACAGGGCATCCAAGAGAAGGGGACACTAAGTCTCTGAGGTGGGCAGAGACATCAAGAAAAAAGCAAGAAGGAAACAGAAGACAAGGACTGGGATCAGAATGTGTCCAAATCAAAACAGGCACAGCAGTACAGTGCAGGTTGAGCCCTTGGTGAGCTCTCAAGACTGGGCACTCATGGCACCATAAGGGCTCCCCAAAGTGCCTTTTGTGGCCCAGGGAGGGCCAGGCCTTGTAGGTCCTCCTGACAGGCTAATGGCCCTTTAACAGCTAAGAGTGGAAAAGTAAGAGAAATAGCTCAGCACTACCCCCCTGCAATTGCACAACCAACTAAATACACCCAAACACATGGCCTCTCTTTGGTGCACAAGAAGACACACACCTATACACATAGGATAGAGGTTAGGTACACAGACGTACACACAGCCCCACAGTGTGTGAGTACACACATAAATAAACTCTCCCAGTAAAGGGACACAACACATTCCATCCGCCAGTGAGGAGGTGTACACAAACACATTCCTGTTCCCTCTTTCAGGAGTGAACAGAGATATATATGACCTCTCTGCAGGTTCACACTCATACACACACTCCACTGCCTCTTGGAAGGGTACATACAAACTTCTATAGGTATAAGGAACACACAAAAACTTACAGCCTGTCAGGAGAACACCCACTCACGACGTCTGTGTTAGATGCACACACACCCTTAACAATCTGTCGACATGCTCACGCACAACATATATGAGCACACCCTCACAATCTGTCTGGTGCACAATACACTCACAGTCTGTTAGGTGCACACAGGCTAACAACTTCTCGCCGCTGGGCCCGCACACACAAACTCACAACCTCCTCATTAAGTGCACACACACTCGCTTACAACCTCTCCATCAGCGCATGCACACTCACACTTGCTCGGTCGGCACACGCACATTCGCAGCTTCTCTTTCCTCCAGCGCACCCCACACCCACGCACCCTCCTGGCCGGGTGCACCCTTCCCCCAGGCCCGTGCCGGCGCGCGGCCAAGAACTCCAGCGGCGCGGGGTGTGCACACGCCCCCGGCCCGCAGCCGCCCGGCCGGCCAGCGCCCCCCCTCACCTTTCTCGCTCGCGCCTGGCGCCCGGCCCTCGTCCTCCTTGGGGTTGGTCACCTGGGTGATGATGGCCGGGCAGTCCATGGG